GATTGAAATTGACGATGTAGAGTGTTTTGGTTCAATTTCGGTAAAACTTTCGATCAGATTCTACTTATAAATGATAAATGAAGTCATGATGATCCTACGATATCATAACTCTATTCCCTGGATTCTTATACCGAATACGTGCGATTTGCGGTACAATTAGCAGCACGTTTTTATTTGTATGAAAACATTTATGCAATCTATACTCGTGGGAAAGAATGATAATCTTAGAATAATGCAACGTTTTCCATGAAACTCATTGCACACTCTTGAAATTTCACAATTTTATCGATAGAAATTATTCATGATACAATCGACTGATCTTATTCTATCGAGTTGCTTATTTTATGACGCGCCAGAAATATATTATAATTTCTGTACATTGAGGGTATATTGAGAAACGTGTTTCATTGTAAAAGGCGTATATATGTTTGGTTTATAATGTGCGAAATTTTGTAAGATCTCGAAGAGAACCCCGGCGATTGGTTCATCCACCTAGCCAGTGAAAGCAAAAAGTTCTCCAAGCCTAGTATCTATCGAATTAGTAGAAGACGATTAGTAAACACAGCGTGGAGATCGACGTTAAACCGAAGAGAAAGAAACATCCGTTTCAGGTGCGCGATTACACGGTCTTTCGTAATCGAGTTGGGAAAGTATCATTAATGCATAAATCTCCCCTTAATCTCAATCTCAAACTCCCTTTAAAAGGCCGAGAAACCGCCGGCTTACATCTCATGGATATGCTTAGTGCATAGGAAAATGAAATCGAAGTATAATCGCGTGTACAGTTCGAGGCGCGCTGCGACTATCTCGTTTAGCTGCGGTAAGTATGTTGTTGGAAGTCGACGCCGATCTAGAAAGGGATAACTCGCCGCTCCTTTCTAAATCATACAACTCAAGCTTATGAACGCGAACAGCCGAAAAAATATCTTGTGGACACGATAAGCTGTGTCAGTATTTGAACACGACCTTAATGAAATGTCCCAATGTCACTTCTGATAACTATATGTGATGAACAAATTGCACAGGAAGAATGATTTGGCTGAAATATCTAAAAATTTAGTTAGATACAGATCTGAATAGTTTTGTTTGGATTATCAAAATTATGTAAGAATTTCAAATGTAAAAAGTAAAGCTAATATTTCATTTCATCTTATGACAAATTTTTTAAGTATATTAATTAGCTGCAAAATAGAGAAATTCTCTATCTACCCTCAATTAACATTACTTGAAAAATTGTCATATAAAAAATAGAATATTACTCTCTAAATTTTTTGAAATGAAATATCACTCTGAGGAGTGAAAATTGAACCAGTCTTGAAAAAGTACGTATTCATATTTGTAAATCGATTCACGATTGATCCTCATTTCAGGAGAGCTAGGTTTGAATCTAAGTTTGTACCAACTCAGTTTATTAAATCATGGCTTGAGAAGAGTTTTTCAAATGAAAGACTGATTCAAACCTAGTTTAATCTTTAATCTAAGGTTGTCACTATGAATACAACCCTAAGAGTGAGATTTTATTCTTTAGAGTGATAATTCACTCTAAGCTAACCTGATATTTCATTCGATAAGCTTCACCCATGACACCATCATGAATCCCTGTAGATAAAGCATCAAATTAAGTCTAATCATAAATCAACCAGAAAATGAAAACCTAGATTTAAAGATTTTAGAGAATAATGTTACAGAAAATTTTAAACAATCAGCTTGTGAGCGTTCTACATAATTATTTTTAATTGTTTGACAATTTATATTATTTATACATAATATTTAGCTTCAATTTACAATTGTGTTGCAAATAATAGCACAGTTTTGCTTGAATTGGAAATTGTAAAATTCATACAAAAATATTAAACATCAAGATTCACTTTGACTAAATATAGTCTCCTTTGCTTATTTGTATTGAACATTTCTTGATCGATTTTTACTTTGACACAATTATTTTAAAAGTCCAATAGAATTATTTTTAAATCTGTATCTACCCAGATAACATTTAAGTTGCATAAGATATCTAAAAGATGTCTTTTAAATGTTCTATGTCTAAAAGACGTTTTGTAGATATCTTATGCAATAGATATGTTATCTGAGTAGTTAAATTTTTAGCGATATTTCAGCGAAACTATTCTTTCCGTATGAGAAATGAAAGAAAAGAAAGCAAGGAAAAAGGCGGGCATACGGAGCAAATTTTTTGTTAAAAACGTGCGAATGGCACGTCTCGAAAAATAAAGCGCGTCTAAAGAACATTTTTTTGAACACTACCGGTGCCGTGAGTCACCGTACGTGAGACTCTCCATGAACTATGTGCGTTCGTCGCCTCGACGCGACGTCAACAACAAGAGTTTTTCGCGCCAATTCCGCGCGGCCACGTGCGTATGATGCCACGCGTTGTACGTCGATGCGACGTGCGCACAGACACGTCATTGTGCATGCCAGTCGCTCTGTCCCATTTAAATGATACGTATTAATCCATCGAGAACGGTGTCGTGACCGATGGAAATAAATGATTTCAATAGCGTGCCGCCTTCGAATTAGCTATGAAATTAAAAGCTTCATCGTGCATATCAAAATGTTTTCAAATCAACACTTTTAGCAAAACAAAAAACTTCCGTAATCCACAGATTAAAAAAAAGATGAAATTATTTATTAAATCGCAAACATACTCTTCATTGCATAAAATTTTCAGTTATGATTTCCATGAGTTTTTTTTTTATAATTAAAACTGTATGTATTTAACATTTCCTACTTGTGAATTATCGATAATGAGAGCAATTATTAGAAGATTCTTTCGTAAAAGCAGGAGTCGTATACAAATTTGTACAATTTGTATAAAAATGACGGGTAACACAAAACCCAATATCTGCTTTCCTATTTACAAAGATAGAAGCATTAATTCGCCCCTAGCGAGCGGTATTAAGGGGTAACGAGCAGCCTGCATTGGGGAAACTAAGGGATGAAGGAATGGAGGGAGATCGGGAGCAAGACAGAAAGAGAGAGGGGTAAATTTTCAAACGGGGTAAGGGGAGTGTTTAGGGTTCCACCCTGACGAACCTGGGCGCGGCATTGGTGCATGGTATGTGCGGGGTGCGCACTCTTGCAGCTCGCAAATACTGGGCCGGCGGTTCGGGGATGGGAAGAAGGATACGATGAGGGTGGATGTCAGGGGGATAGGGTGAAGATACCGGGGAATGGAAAGGGACAGGCGGGGTGGACATATCAGATCGATACTCGGCGAAAAGCGCGGGCCGAACGGAGACGGCGCAGTTGAGTGTATCTATGGTTGGTCCATCGTGAGATCCGGATGTTGCGACTACGCACAATCTACGCGGTGGAATATTCGAATCAATGCCGACTGGATTCTCGTCTTTACTCGTACGTGAATGAGAAAAAGAATCTGTTCGTCCCAGATGTGCTGTATCGCGCTCGAAATGAGGTAAATACATAGGCGTGTGACTTGGAGGATTTTACGTAACAAATCTTATTACAATTTATGCACAAAGTCGTTCGTTCGGAGAAACTTTGTGCGTAAATTGTAATAAGATTTGTCACGTGATTTCTCTTCTACCTCCCTTTTGTATTCGCTCATTTCAGCGAAGTTTCCGCTGTCAGAGCTCGTCGATTGTCCGTTATTAGTTTTTAATATGAGATAATCATGGAAAGTCACAGAAGGAAAAAAAAAGAATTGCGGGTGTAGGAGAAGGCGGCTCTACTACGAACCCGTGCATATAGTAAGCAACTGTAGTACTATGACTTAGTCACACCCACAAGCCGGTTGTGGGTTCAAGATCCTCGTACGCTCTTTCTCTCTCCTCTACCCATATATATATATATATATATATATATATACACACACGCTTATGTAGCAGCCTGCGCGTGTAATTGTAATTGTACGCGAGGTGTACGGGAGGTTCTCATAGGGAATCTATCGTCTTTGCCTAGCGTAGACACCAAGCCATCAATTCTAGGTACTTGCTATATTTGCAACTCACGACATTGAATAAAGACGTGAGATAACGTGGGAATTTTTTAAGCGTACAGTCAGACGTAATTGCGGAGATTCTTGTACAATCAGAGATGAATATTTTATGCGGCCAGCTTCTTATAAATTGATAATACATTCTGTTTATAATACATTCTTGTATTTTTTTTTTATTAAAACACAAAGAGATCGTCGAGAATGATTTATGAATTGAGAGATACAAAGGTTGATCCTTGAATCATCTCGATCGATGGATAAGCGCAATATTTCGAGGAACAGATCTGCTTTCATTCGACGAATTCTCTCTCGGGAACTCTCACGTGCTTGCGTGAGCTATTATTCCTCAACAGAGCGATTCGTAGACATCGTAGGTGCTGTAGACATTGATCTTAGATGCCTTTAATGGAGAAGCATTCTGTGAAAAAATGATCGATCTATGAAATGCATGTTGAATCGAAATACGTTGCGGATATCGCTAAAAAATCACGTACGCTCATTGAGATATACATATAGGAGTTCCATGATGATCGGAAGAAAATGATGGAAAACTTTCAGATATGCAATCGCTGTAGCAAAAATATAAAAATAAAATTGCGTAGATGACTGCCTGCAAGCACATAATACAGTTCAGAGAGATGATGTAACAAAATATAATCAGACATAAATAGATATAATAAAATTCA